TCCTGGGTTGGTTTCTGTGAGATCTCCCAAATGCTGAAAAGCATTAGAACTTCACTGGCCCACAGATAATGAACTCATTTTATTTTCTTTAATTAAATAAGCACAGGTTGAATGTGCCCTTGCCATGGACAGATGACCAGTTCCAAGTCCACTGTCACACTTCTAATTGTCTCCGTGCAACACTGATGACATTACGGAGAGCTAGGTAGTGTTCAGGGTAAGCAGATTCATGAATGCATAAATGCATTTCTTTCTGTGCATTGTAAAGCACCTCCCCTGTCCTGTGTCTCTGTTTGTCAGCACCTCTGTTGCCCTTTATTTAGATTTTAAGCTGCAGAAGCATAATTTAAGCTGCAAAAACCGTAATTGATTTTTGTGGTGGGCTTAGCGTGCTCTGTTATCCATCATTTGTTTTGTCTAGGCATTCTAAAATCTTATTTTTTTCAAATCAGGGGGGAAAGTGCTTGTAATTTTTTGGTAGAATTACATTACCTGAAGCTAAATATATTTAATCCCATCTCTAGGTTGCAAACTTTCTCTTGCATCCATCCCTTTTTGTCTGTTTTAAATGCCCCTGTGTCAGGCTGGTTTTTACAGTACTTTTCTTTTAAAGCTTTATTGACATAGAAATCACATACATACAGTTGACTCACTGAAAGTGTACAGTTCAGCGGTTTTTCGTGTATTCACCGATACGTGCAACCATCACCTCACGCACTTAGAACATTTTCATTACCTCAAAAAGAAATGCCCTTACCTCTTGGCTTGCCACCCCTCTGTATCTGTGTCCCCTCCACCAGCCCTGGGCAGACACCTCTCTACTTCCTGTCCCTGTAGATTTCCTGTCCTGGACCTTTCATATGAGTGGAATCATGTAACACGTGGTCTTTTGTAACTGGCCTCTTTCACTTAGTATAATGTTCTCAAGGCTCATCCATGTTGTAGCCTGTATCAGTGCTTCGTTTTTTATGGCCAAATAATACAGCATTGTGTGGACATGTGGCATATTTTGTTGACCCACTCATCAGTTGATGGACATGTGGGTTGTTTCCACTTTAAAGTGCCCTTACAGTGGCATCTCCCCTGGTCTCTGCTTCTTTTCCCCCCATTTCCACCCTATACCATGCAGGACTTCTAGAATCTATCCTGTGTTTGGGTTTTTGGTTTTTGTTTTTTTTTTGTAAAAATACTATTATTTAAATGTCTTCAAAGACATATAGTCATATAGAAATTTTTCACATTGTATATGTATGATTATTTCCTTCTTTTAGTGGAGTCAAATTTCCCCCTGTTTTTCTTAGCTTTTTCTTCTTCCCACCCCTCATAGCAGTGCCCCCCCCATCTCAAAGCGACCTGGCCTGTCTCCTCCTATCCTTTTCTGTGCAGGTGTATTTAGAGGTATATATTCATGGACGTGTACATAAACAGAGCAGGTGGGTTTTTTCGATGGGGTCATGTTTGATTTACAGCAAGATTGTTATACATACTTTCCTGTGTCTTGTTTTTCTGCACCTTGCAAAAGGCTTGGGGAGTTAACTGGTGCGTCTTTAATTTGGTCTTACTTTTTAATGACCGTGTAACATTTTGTGATATGCATGATACCAAAATATACCCAGCTATTTCTCTTGTCCTGGTTCTAGTTTTGCTGCCGCTGACAAGGGAATCCTTCTTCAGCACAGCTCTGATCCCCGGTGGGGAGCTCTTGATCTAGTGGCATCAAACTTGAGTGTGGTGGCCACTGTCACCCTGGGTCCCTCCCTCCCACCTCTGTTCTGTCCCAGACTAACTACCAAACATGCCAGCTTCTTTTTTCTGACTCTTGGCTTTTGTACATGCTATGTTCTCTGTGTAGAATGTCCCTTCCGCTCCAGCAGAGAATAATAATTGTGAGAGTCCAAACTCTGGGTCAGACCTGGGTTCAAATTCACGTGCCCCATACTGCCTCAGTACTTTTCTTTCCTTCGTGGTCCCAAGGAACATACTTTTGATTTTCAGCATGGTTTTATTTTAGGCTGTCTACTATAGAAGTGATGATGCTTGGCATACTTGTCGCCTTCCTGAATCTCAGGGTCCTTGGAAGCAGAATCAGCCCTGTGAGGCTATGCATCTAAAGGGGCGGAGGGTATAAGGGAAATCTCTGTACCTTCCTCTCAATTTGCTGTGAACCAAAAACTCCTCTTTAGAAAAAAAAAAAACTAGTGGAGACAGTAAAAATATGACTGGCTGCCAGGAGTTGGGGATAGGTGGAGATGAGTAAGCAGAGAATTTTTACGGCAGCATAACTGTATGATGCTTTGATGGTGGACACGCCATTACACATTCATCAGAACCCACAGAATGCACAGCACCAAGAGTGAACCCTAAAATCAGCTATGGCCTTTGGGTGATTATGACATGTCTGTGGAGCTCCATCAGTTGTCTGAATGTCCTGCTCTGGGGATGAGGGGGTTGAGTTCAGACAGAGAAGAATCCATCCCTCCCCACTTTTTTTGTTTTTTGCCCTGGATGTGAATCACAAGATCTTGGCACCTAGTAGGTGTTCAATAATTTAAAATTCAGTAACTGGATAAAGACCAGACTCCTGAAACTATAAGTGCCCCGGTTTATGGCTATTTCTTCCAAAATCCACCTATCTGTCAGCCATCAGAATTTCACTGTTTGACACTGCAGGCAGTCTTTGAAGGGGGAGCTCCAGTTCTGGAAAACTGGTCACCGGTGGAGACTGGAGTGCATGAGGGAAGTTTAAAAGGCCACATGCCTTTAAGTTGTGACTGGTCCAGCCTCCAGCTGTGTCATCTGTGAACATTAAATTCACCCAGAAGAAAAGGAAGTTGAAACTAAAAAGAGCCCCACCAATGGAAGTACAGGACTCCTCCCCTCGTGATCGCCCTGTGCGTTGCCCAAGGCGACAATCTGCCTATAGATCCCCCTTCCCCTGGTTAAATTTCTGTGAAGGGGCAGAAACACAGTCACAATGGGAGCCTGGAAAGAGTGGCCACTCCTGGCGGCTCCCTCCCTCCCTCCCCTCCCGGGCTGTATGAAATCCTACAACCACACCACACTAATTAGCCCGAGAATGGAAGGGGTTGCCATGGCGACCGAGCACTTTTTAAAGCACAGGAATGGTGTTCATTATTGTTCAGTGTCTTTAGCTGTGGCGAAAGGTCAGGGTGGCAGTTGCTTTCCATATGAATTTTGGCCTGAGAGCCAAACCGAAGGTGGAATGTTCCTCGGAGGGACTGGAGATGGTAAGTGCGGCCGAACTTTTTGGAGGGGGTGTCCCTTTCGTAATATTTTTTTAGGGTGTTTTAATAACCAGTGCCAAGCTAAGGAATTGTGCAAACTTTGTTAAATAGAGACTGGAAGAAAAGGAGCAGGGGAAAACAGCAGGGGTCAGGAATGGTGAACGTTTGAGAGACTTGGAGAGGTTTTTTGCTTTATTTAAAAGGTCTTTGAGCATCAGATGATGAGACGTGAAATGCGTTAAGTTTCTCTGATTATGAATTTAACAACATTAACTAAGTCTGATGCTTAATTCCCTATTTCTTTTATATTCTCTCTCTACTAGTCTTTTGTGGGTTGCTGTAGTTCAGATTATATTCCCAAATAAATCTAACAGTAGCATTTTAACCAAATACCTTCAGAACAGTTGCTTCTGTTTTCTTTTTTTTAATCCAAAGATAAGATAGAAGAGTAACCAAGGCTAATTTTTCCATACTTTTCTGTTTTTCTTTCTTGTCCAAGGAGATTTGAAATAATCAAGACTAGAAACCAGTGAGCCACAATTCTTCGGCTATTTGCCCTAATTTATTGGCTAGATTCGGGGTGGTATACTGCTGAGCAGAGACAGTTTGACCACAGTGTTTCATAGGAGAAATCAAATATGAGAGAAGTCGTCCTGCTGGAGATGGTGGTAGCTCTTCCATCAAACATTGTGAGGGAGATTTATAGAGTGTTCTTCAAATTCATCTTTTGCTTAAAGAAAAAAAAAAGTGCAGAATAACGTGGCTTTCAGCTTGCTTTTGTGTTAATGACTGTGTTTTTAAGGCTCTCAAATTTAAACTACGTTTTAAAAATGTACTTATGTCCTAGGGCGCTGTTTTTCAGTTGTTTTATACACAGTTGTGTAGGATCATAAAATACAAATTAACTAAAGAGAATGGGGTGTTCAGATTGAAAAAACACAGATCACTGCTCAAGAAGCCACAAGTGGGAAATGACCTACTTTGGGGCTTTACTCCGAAAAGACTCTTGTCCTGTTAGTAATGCCAGTTTGTTTGGCAACTGAACAGAGAAAGAATACGTTTCAGAATGTTAAGTCTTGGTTTGATTTCCTCTGGCTTGCATTTGTATATTCTGGGATTGATTTATTTCATGATCAGAGTATGGAGCAAATTTCTGGAAATCGGGAAAATTAAAATTCTTTTTCATTTTTGTCTCTTTTCTCCACTTGCAAGCTCTCCTCCTCTCCCCACCCACCCCCACCCCTGGCGCAGAACCCCTCCCCCAGCTCTCACTGGGTCACTGCATTCTTCAGCTAAAAAAAATGCCTGGAAATTGAAGTTTAAAAAGTAAATAAGGTGATATTTGTATGACATTTCAGATTCTTTGGAACACATAGCATTACAAGTGATGGTTCATTTATGATATTTGTAAAATAGTCAGAAAGTTGAACCTGGCTATTAATAGCAAGGAATTATTGGTGTCTTATAAGATATGATAATAGTGTTGTGGTTATATTAAAAAAATGATTCTGATATGTTTATGAATGAGATGGTGTGATATCTGGGACTTCTCTCAAAAAAATCCAGGGGCAGGAAACAAGTGGGCTTGAGGATGGAGCAGGATTGTTGCTGGTTGTTGAAGCCAGGCTATGGGTACACAGGATGAGGTTGGTTTTCTATTCTGTATTTGTGTGTAGGTTCAAAACGTGTGTGTGTGTAAAACAGTGGTAAGGGTGTCCTGTTAACCTTGTCTTCTCACCTCTTGGCTTGTTTCAGATGCCCGACCAGTTTGACCAGGCGGTCGTGGTCAACCAGCTGCGGTACTCGGGGATGCTGGAGACGGTGAGAATCCGGAAAGCGGGGTATGCGGTCCGGAGACCCTTTCAGGATTTTTACAAAAGGCAAGATGGAGCTGCACAGGCCTTCTTCCATTGCAAAGGGATCGGGGAAGGAATTGTGGCAAAAGGTGACGCCGGGCGTCCTTCTGTTGCAGGTATAAGGTGCTGACGAGGAGTGTGGCCCTGCCCGAGGACGTCAGGGGGAAGTGCACGGCCCTTCTGCAGCTCTATGACTCCTCCAACAGCGAGTGGCAGCTGGGGAAGACGAAGGTACAATTTTAGAGAAAGAACAAGTGTGCTGTCAAGTTCCCTGGGAGACAGTAGAGTTGAGTGTTCTGTGATCACTGCCCACCAGTTGTTAACATTGAGAAGATGCTTGTGGTGTTGTGACCACCATAATCCTTTGTCCTCCCAACAGTTAATGTTTTATTTGAAGTCCTTGACTCTTGAGGATTCTGCTTTCTTGGGGACAGAGGAAGCATGGGATCCCAAGTGCTTCATTCAGTCAGTCAACAGATCGTTGGCTGATGGGTGGCTCAGTGCCTTGGGGGAGCTGGGCAGCCTCTGGAATCTGAGAAGTGAGACCCCAGACCTTTTACATTATTCAAGTGCTGCATGTTGTCCCTGCATCTCTGTACTGAGTAGAAGACTAGCAAGTAGTCTGAAATCCTATAGGTTGCCCAAAGTCCAGTCCAGAAAGCCAAGTGGAAATCCAGCGTTTGAACATGCCGCTGTGACTGAGGCCTTGACCCCTTAGTTAAATGGTGGCATCAACAGCAAAATTATCAGTAAAATTGGCCATATGATCTCTTCTCCCTACATCAGGAGCTGCCAAAATCCTCATCTGGGGTTCCACACTTGTTTCCACAGCCACCTCCAGTGTCTTATCACACAGGAGAGGCAGAAAGGCAGGCAGCTGGGGGGTTGGCCTGTGAGTGTACAGATGTCGTTGAAAGTAAGAGATGTTCCTTGTGCCTCTTCCCCCTGACCCTACAAGTAGCAATGCAGCATCAGAGAAGTAGCTTAAAGTTTCTGCTCAAGTTATGTTGTTTTTAACCAAGGAGTTTCTTTGGTTGAAATAAAGAAAGAGAGAGAGAGAGAGAAAAGGAAGGAAGGAAGAAAGGAAGGAAGGAAGGAGCAAGTAATGGAGGGAAGGAGAAAGACTCGTAACTGGCAGTCGGAGTGTCTCCATTGTAGAGCTGCTCTGATAAAATGCCACAGACTGGGTGGCTGAAACACAGAAGTTTATTTCTCTGGTCTCTCTTCCTCCTCTTATAGGGGCACTAATCCCATTGTGGGGCGCCACCTTCCTGACCACATCTGAACCTAATTACTTCCTAAAGGCCCCACTTCCAAATACCATCAGATCGGAGGTTAGGGCTGCAGCATAAGAAAGGGGGAGGAGGGGCAAAACATTCAGTCCATAACATTGGTGTGTGATCAGTGACAAGTATTGAGGCATCATCTGGGGGCCACTCAGCAAGAGAGGGTATATGATGGACGTACTTTTCTGCTCTTGAAGGATTCCATCTGGCCAGGGATTTGATATATGAATGTCTAATAGGGTAGAGATGGCTTGCAGAGCTATTGTATTAGTTATCTATTGCTGTGTAACAAACAACCATGAACTTTGCGGCCTTAAGGGTACATGTTAATTATCTCATAGTGTCTATGGGTCGGGGATCCAGGCACAGCTTAGCTGGTCCCCCACAGTCTCCAGAGCCTGGCAGTCAGTGTCAGCCAGGGCTGCATTCCCTCCTGGAGCTCTGGCTTCTCCTCCAGGCTCGTGTGGCTCCAGAATCCAGTTTTTTGTAGTTGTAGGACTGAGGTCCCTGTTTTCTTGCTGACTGCCTTTCGCAGCTTCTAGAGACCACTCTCCACTACACTCCTTACCACATGACTCCCTCCCGGGTCCTCCCACAACATGGCAGTTCACTTCTGCAATGTCAGCAGGAGAATCTCTAGCTCCAGTCTCCTAAGGTGGAGTCTTGTGTAATGTCACATATTCACAGAAGTGACAGCTCATCGCCTTTGCCGTGATCTAAGGCCAAGAAGGAACTCATAGGTTCAGCCCACATTAGTAGGTTAAACAAGGGTGGAACCCACTGGGGGTCACCTCGGGCTGTGTCCTCACAGGTTTGTAGGCCTCTCAACCTGGAATTCTCCCCGCTCCTAGTTTAGCCAACTCATCCTTCAGGTCTCTGCTTAGATATAAACTGTGACAGGAATCCTTTTTGACATACTGCATTGCACCCCACACCCAAAAACTCACCCCCACACTGGGTTAAGCCTCCTCCTCTGTCATCTCTATTTTCCTATTTTCCACCCATTGTAACACTTAACACTCTGTCCTGCCATCTTGGCATCTCCTGGTGACTTGTCTACAGTCGCCCCAAAGAAAATGTGGAGTTAACTGTTGGTTCTTCTACACAAGTGCACATA